TGAATGGAATCACAATGTCATTAAATCATTTTGCTATTGCCTTCTGTATTTTCTTCTTGATTACCTTCCACGTGGGGGACCGGGAACCTAAGAAAGTGTGGGGCTGCAATTATCAAGACCCTAGCCATTCAAGCGTGGTGCCCACTCCCCTCTAGCACTTTCTACAAAGTTGAGGAACATTTCTTGGAGATTATGATGTGGATCAGTTATGAGCTTGAGGTCGTCATACATGATTTGGAATGCTAATGGTTATCTTGTTCAATATTAGGACTCTTGATGAAAAGTATGAATTTGCTTATCCGTGGTAAATTATTGCTCACTTGCGTCATTGTTTTTATAATTATCATTATTTTGATTACTAACATGAGATGTATATTATGAAAAGTGATGCTGACCAGTGCTAACTAGTGCTTTTCTAGTTCGAAATTGTATATGGCCAGCCCACCTAAGTCTATATTACCTCATTTTATCTTCTATTGAGCCACCCCTAATTTCCTTCAAATGTATAGATTCAGAATTCTATCCTTTTTTTGTCTTGCTACTCATCCATCTCAACATCTTTATCTTAGCTACCCTTATTTTATGGATATATTGTTTCTTGACCGCCCACCATTCCGTTCTACAAAACTTGGCTGGTATTATAGCCGTCCTATAAAACTTCCCTTCAATTTCATTGGTATGCATCGATCACATAAAACTCTGGAAGCATATCTCTAATTTGCCCACCCAGTTGTAATTCTACGTGTGACATCTTCCACAATTTCTCTATTTTCAAGGATTATTGACCCCAAAGATCGAAAATAAGCTCTTTTAGGTACTTCTTCGCCATCAATCTTAACTACCATCTTATTTCTAACCATGTTATTAAACTTGCATTCCAGATATTTTGCCTTTGTTCGGCTAGTTTTAAAACCTTTAGATTTCATAGCATCCCTTTGACGATCTTGGAGCCAAAGCCTGAGTAGTGCTCGCTCCTGCCATCAAGGGAGTTTCATCCCTATCTTGTAAGGATCTCAATCCCTGACTAAAGGGGATTTTGATTGCTTTGGAGGATCACGACCCTACTGAAAATGGGGCAAGATCATGGTTCTTAAGAGAAGTTTTAAAAGTTTTTTAATTTTGAAATCGATGTTTTGTATTTTGTGCTGTGTTTTTCTTTTTTTCTTCAACGTTCTAGCTAATTACTACTTTAGACGATTCTTGTTTTTTGTTTTCATAATCGCGATTTGGATAAGTGGTTGAAAATTGGTGAACGGAATCGAAATCGCCCGAGTCAGCTCGGACCTAGGGGACTCCTTGCTCCTAGATAGTCTCGAAGAAGGGAATTGCGAGTGTTGTCTAGAACCAGGAAGTTCTTGCTATAACAGATTGCTTTGTCTCATCTAGTTAGGGACTTGGATGATTCCTAAGTTCGGTTCTTATCATGGCCCCTCAATTTCATTTTTCTCAATTTTTAATGGGTCATTCAAGCTATAGAATTCTCATTGTGCATGTGTAATAAATGCTAAAACTGGATTAAAAAATTTAGATTATACATTTCTCAAATTTTGAATTCACTTCTATAGGCTGGCGTTATCCCACTAGTTAACAACTACAATGTTAGCCAACGGTCCAAACTTAATCTTGGCCAATTTGACGGTCACCTCATTTTGTATTTGAATTTTCATTTTTTTTTACAAATCCAAATGACTTGAAATTTTAGGTGTTTATTCTTCTCATCAAGGTGCACCTAATAAAAATATTAAAAAATAACTTGCAAAATATAAATTGACCAAAATACCCCTGAAAAGTTTTGGGGGAATTTTTGTTAATTTATTTTTTTATATATGTTTTAGATTCTACTATTATTCAAGAATAAACGTTCAAAATTTCAAGTGATTTGGATTTGTAGAAAAAAATTAAAATTCAAATACAAAATGCAATCGTGACCAATGCATCGCGCCCAGATTCAATCTAGGCCATTGGATGACATTGTAGCTGTTAGCTAGTGGGCTAATGCCAACCTTTCCATATATATATATATATTTAAATAATATATTGGGATTGTATACAATGAAACCATTTACCTTTACTACAAGGAGGTCGCATTTATTTATAGCCATCCAATGAGAAATCTGATAGCTTGGGTGTTTCACAAAGTTCGAAAATATTTCTTTTGAAGTTTGTGCATGGTCAATAGTATAAATCAGTGTTTAAAAAATCATCGATCCGATCTGGAATCGGGTGATCCGGATCGAGTATCGGTGATACCGCTCCAGATCGGGTATCGGTAATACCTGGTGGTTCTACTCTTTTTTTTTGGAAATCTGGGTTTCTTTTGCACTCCTGGCTTTTTGGCATCGTTACACGTGAACAAAACTGACAACGCTGACAGTTTCTTGCATGTCCACCGTCTTTTACGCTAGGTGGCCTTGCCACATATAGCTTTGCACCATGCCCTTGATAACTCAAGTTGCATGCCTTATGCTATGCAGACTTGTGCCATGTGTTTTATACGGTGAAGTGCTCCTTCATCGTTTTGATGTGGGGCAAATGCTTTTTGCCTGTTCACTCTATTGTATTAATGTCTATTCTTAAAATTAAATTAAGCTTTTGCTATAAACAATAACCCTTTTATTAGATACTAGGCATTAAGTTATTCGTTAATAGAGATTAAAAAGAAAAAAATAGTACTAACTCATAGGATATTAGAACAACAAGAAATAATATTAATACTAGTTTATTGTCCATTAAAAAAATTACTAGTTTATGAGACATTTTAAAATAAAAAAAATAACACTAGCCCAAACCACTTTAAAATCTATTTTAAAATTGCTTTGTCAATTATCCCACATTGCAAGTATGATAGTTATATATTTTTGTAATTTTATTATAATATAATTACAAATTTACGTTTCTAAATTCTATACTTTGTAGATTTATTTATAAGGGTCACACCTTTGTTTATTATTAATAATTATACATTGATAACCAAATCTTGTATTTCATGTATTTATTTATTTACATTATAAATTATATAATGTATTATTTTTATTATAGCTGTAAATAATTTTTTTAAAAAAATAGATGATATTATAAGACAAATTTTAAATTTATTCATGCAGGGAAATAACATCTCAATATTCGTATATTGATAAAAAAAATGTAAGTTTTGAGTGTAGTACCGCCATATTTTATTGGATTCCTAAAAAACAACATTTATAATGATTTTTAATATTTTTTTTGGAATTTTTTTAAGGCCGAATCTGACTGATTCCCGATCTGAAACGCCGATTCATCGATTTGGATGGTTTTTGAGGTGCCCTATCCGCTTTTTAAACCACTGGAACAAATGCAACCATCCAATTTCGCATCCAATGGTCAAGATTAATTGTGATCACCTTGTACCAAAGGTAAATGATCTCATTGTATGTGTGTGTGTGTGTGTGTATATATAT